TGGGGGTGCTTAACTTTCTTCCAGGTGTATATATCAAATTTTATTATTTTTAATTTTTACTATAGAGATTGCTTTGCATTGTTAGCTTACTAAATGTATTTAGAGCTAATTTAAATCTCCTAAGCTGACTGAAGCTAGTGAGATAATACTGGGTTTACTACCAAAAATATTATTAACAGCAAAGGTACCTAATTAACACAGATTAATCTTTATAAGTAACAATGTAAGAAAAGTATACTTAATCATCTATACTCACAAACAGATTGATTTTTAGTCTAAATCTAAGTAGGTAGCGGTTCTGATTGAAAGTTAACATTAACACGTTCACAACATCGTACGCCACCGGTGGTACATATGCATGTTTTCTGTTGGACGTTGTGAGTCACCAGTGGTACACAGCATCCATAACATATAACTGTACCTCATATCTCCAAAGTCCAATATGAAGCATGTATTATTGCCACAGACGGCTATATTAAAGCTACACCTTCCATCATGTACCACTGGTGGAGCACAGATGTCATGTTGAAAGGACAACTGAAATAAAACAAATTTACATGATTAAATCACTTTTTATTTTAAAATTATATCTAGAGATTGGTATTACATTTTTCACTGTGAGTAATTGAAGCAAAAAAACACTAATTGAGACTTGTTTGATAAATAAGAAAACTGTTATGAAGACTGTAATACAATAAGGATAGAACTATTATCATCCACAGTTGGGATTATTTTATCTTTATGTCCCTTTATTACAACCATAAAATTGTGAAATATTCATAATTCTTCTAAAAAAATTACAAGATTAGGCTGAAAAAAAAAATTATGATAATTTCATTATTATTACTCAAATCATAGTGTGCACCACCAGTGGCACATGACATCTAAAGCTTAAATGGGTAAAGACAGGACATGTACCCATCAGAGTTGCACTCAATAGAAAGTTCTCAATGCAGTCATTCTGTCATAAAACATAACATAAAGCCATAAAATTAGCTGTATCTAAGGCAGAGTTAACAATGAGGTCTTATGTTCCTATTGCATAATTAGAGGAATCAATTACGCCATGAACGTGTTAACATTTGGGAAATCTTTTAAAATATGCTGTTCTTAATTTAAGATATACATGTTCCTAAATAGAGGAAAAGGACATCAGGGTAGATCAAATTAAAGATAAAGGAGAAAATCACGAATAATTGCCACAAGTTTATGGCATTTAAACTTGTTGACAGATAGGATGAAAGACTTACAGAATTAGAGGAAAGCTAGGCTGGTTGATAATGTGAAACTAACAACAATGATTTTTTAAGTATGTTAAAGGCGAGCAAAATAATGAAATTGGGATTGGGCCCTAAATGTTTGTTTTGGATATTCAAACAAACAAAGCTATTTGTGCTAGCCACCTCCAGTTGTGAACCACAAAGCCATGCCTGATCTGAGCCCATAAAGGGCATTGATGCCAAGATTTTTGTAGAAGACTATAAAGTGGCTTAGCTTTTAAATGTTTTCTTCTCTCCTCTTCATGTAAATTTTAATCCCTTGATGGTAAGTATAAAAGATGAGAGATTAAAATTAGAATATTAAAGCACCAAGATCAGACATGGGTTTCCTTAGGGTTTTTTTGGTGGTTCAATAGTTAGCGAGCAGGTACTTAAGGATTGGAGTTGTCAATTTAATGTTATTCCTAAAACTGTCTTGGAAATAATAGGCCAGTTAATCTTTCTTGTGTAATAGGAAAAATGTTAAAGATTCCAATAAAAGAAGCTTTGGAAAATCACTTAGCAAGATATGATATCATAAAAAGAAAGCCACCATGGGTGCATTTACCTTACTAATCTGTTATTTTTTTTTGTACATTACTTGTTGTCTGGATTATGGAAAGGGTGTAAACTTGCATGATGTTCTTAAGTGCTCAAAAAGCTTTTGATAAGTTGATCCACAAAAGATAAACCAAGACAATCATATCAGTAGAGGTTAATTAGTTAACTGGAATGTAGGGCAATTGGATGAGAGAAAACAAATGTTTTTTATTTATGGAGTCCAGTCAAACTGGACCCTTGCTACCAGAAGCATGCCTCATATTTCAGTAATTGGGCCTTTGGTTTTTCTTATTTACATGAATGATATTGATAGAGGCATAATTAGTAAACTAGTCAAGTTGCTGATGACATTAAACCTTTGTATTTTTCTCACAGTGTGGCTGGTTTATGGAACAAGTTGACATTGGCAGTAGTGGAGGCTGGCAATTTATAAATGTTAAAGAAGGAGGTTGATGATTCCCTGAAAAATGAAGGATGCATTTAACATTTTTCTTTTCTCATGGGTGAGCATGTAATGACAGCCTTGAAGAACCAAATGGTCCCTGGTCCATATATCATGTTTTTAATGTGTCAGAAATACAGTATTAGAAATAATTATGGAAACAGTGTATAAGATTGTATGAAAATAAACTGTTTCAGAATATAGCAACGTGTTGACATTTTGAATCCTGAATGGCTGTCATTCACCCACACCAGCATAATGTCTATGGAAGTACATTTAGGAATACTACTCCTAGCAAAAGTATGGTGAATACACTTATGGCTCCCAGGATAAAATTACCATGACAATCATGTAGAAATCAAAGTTCTTAAAACGTTGGTGATAGTGATAAATTGAGACAGTATTTCACGTTTCAGTAGGAGATGTATGGAAACTCTAAAGAGGGCATGTGAAACCAGAACTGTTATTAATAGCAGATGGGGTAGAAACTCTCAAACTCTTCAAAAGTGATATTATGTAATTCAGAATATGCTCTTTGCATGATACAGGACAATCCAGTAGCAATCTTACCAGCATAATAGCTGTAAGTACAGGTGTCAATTTTACTTCCAGAACAGTAACATACACATTAGCACAAAGTGGCCATAGTGAATGTACAGCTGCTCAAAAACCACTGTTTAGCATAACAATAAGTTTTACTGTTCTGTTTAAAGCACATACAAAATACAACTGTACTGTAAACTTATTCTTTTGTACTAATGATAGAATCACTATTTACTTGCACATACTCACTGTGACTTCTGCATGTGTATCACCAGTGTTTCCATAATTGTTTCCTGAACAACTTAAAATAAATTATTCCCATCTTTTAGACCCTAAAATTGTAAGAACAGTTATAATTATAGAAGATAAATCACTTTAATTAAACTATTTTTACAATATGCTTACTTACCATCTTCTGGAATGTAAGCCTGTCTCACTTTAGGTGGTGGTGCAAAAAATGAAAAATTAAATGATTTTGTGAGACAGTTTTGCCCATCTAAAGAGGGCGAAACTGTGATGTTCTGTGAGGTTGATGGATATGGTATGATGCAAGTAGCTAGCTTGTCTGGGTTTCCTTCAATGACAGTTTTTTCTGAAGGCAATTCTAGAAAAAAAAAATTCAATTTTATTACATAAAAATTAACTCAATTCGTTTTCTGATTATCCATTATAATATGTGTAACAACACTTGCATAATTGCTCAAAATTAATATTTTCCTATACTGAAAATATATGTCCCGTAGCTACTTACCTCCTCTAACAGTTACAGCTATTCTTGATTTGACTGCTCTCTAGTGTGCAAATTTTTGTTCACCACTAACTTTGAACTCCCACTTAATTCCACATGTATACCATCCATATGTTCAGCTGCATTTAAGCATGCAATAACCCTCCACTAATATGAGTGCAACACACCCTCCTACTTCTAATGCAGTTGAACTTAATCTTCACTTCAAAATTAGGCACAAAAACAATATTGGAAGTGGGGAGAATGGGTGAGAAGGCAAGTATCTATCAGAAATATATTTTCAGTGTAGGAAAATATTAACTTGTGATACGATTACTTACCTCAACTCACAGTTACAGCTATAATCCCACATTGAGCAAGTGGAGAGACTAGTGTAAAATTACCTAGATGAGCACCCTTCAAAACCATCTGAAGAGCACCCATAGAGTATGTCATCTCTATGTAGAAGAAACACACTGGTGAGAGTCTGCACTATATCTGAACCAGGTATAATCTTCACCCAAGTGAAGCCAACTAGTATTGTGTCACAATCAAAGGGCAGAACAAGTGATCCACCTCAAATTTAAGAAGAAGAGGAACAAGTTTAGAGTGGCTATGGCGTGTTGGACCATAATCAGGAGATCAACTCCATTCCAGACCAGTGGCATCAGGAAGAACTTGACTGGCAACTGGCAGGAGAAGGGTCCTCAACCATTCATTTCAGGTGTAGGAACCAGAAGGGAAGAAAAGCCTTCTTACTGAGAACATAAACCAACGTGTGTGCAAATCCAACAAAACATGGAACAATAAACCCCAGGAATGTACATCTGGATGACATCAGGAATGTGGAAATGCAATGTGGAGGGTCAATTCCAGTCCAAAAACAATCTGCATTAGAGATGTAACATTCAGTCAGTGGTAGGAGGAAGTTCCCAGCCCACTCACATGTGAGGACTTATGTTGCCTGGCTCAGCTCCAGGCAGCAAAAAAAGGAAGGTTCCCATCTGAAGGGGCAATCTGCAAAATAGAAGGAAAAATCCAGTCCAGACCAGCAGCATCTGGAATAAAACATCAGACCTGTGGCAAGAGAATAATAATGCCTTCTACACAGGCAGAATGCTTCTGCCCTATTCTCATCTGAGTGTAATTGTGCACACTCAGGAGGATTCCTCCATGATCCACCCCCCCACCCCCCCTTAGTGGCTAGGAGCTGGAAGAAGGGGGGAGAAACAAGTTGGAGAGTCTGAAGGACTACTTTATTCATGACAATGTTGCAATGGAAACTATTTTGCAGGGCTATTGTGAAGATAACTGATCATCAGATACATCATAAAGATATATCAGGGCAACATTAAATGTAATGATGTAGTGAAACTCCAAAATTATCTTAATATAACATACTCATCCTCTCTGTGTTTGTGTATACAAACACATATATATATATATAGTGTTTGATTAAATTTGATTAGTACAAAAGTTGTTTTTATCATTACAACTGTTTACCTCAAATATTAACAAACAAAACTCCCTAAAGTGGTTTTGATAAACAATCTTATAAACCCTTAGATTCACAGTAGAGCATATTAACCACTTGGCCTTGATTTGAGTACAAATAATAACATGAAAAGTATAAAAACATATCAATGATACTAGGACTACCTTATTACAAGATTTATAGAAAGCTCTCCCAAATACAGTTTTACTCCATAAAACACATGATAAGTAATTTGACACACTTTAGAATAACTAAATATTGATAAAGTTACCAGTTCAAGGCATAATATATTATACTGAACTCTTCTACTAACAATTGTAAACTCACTACTCACCAATATTGGTAATTAAACAATACAATGGAAGATTTGGAACATTTCCTTGCCTAAAGGTCACAGTTACTCCAGCAATACTTTCAGTTTGACCATTATAAGCTGCTCTTGAAGGAGTCATGTCATCATACCCCACTAGGAGAAAAAAAAAGTTAAATAACTTCTGAAAAATCTGTGTCTCTCAAGAAATACATTCAAAAACAAGAAATATATTAATAATGTCATAATGATTGAATGAGAAAATGTATGTACGCAAGAATTTTGACATTAGTCTACACCATTTAGTATGCATCCTATTAAATCTCAAGTTTTTTGATGAAAAAGAATCTTTCCCCATGAAAACATTACACAAAGTAAAATTTCATATCTAATAAGAATTTAAAAAATATTTTTTGTGATCATACATATCAACATCTTATTTTGGTTTAGAGAAAATACATATCTCAGAAAATTTGTTTAAATTACCAATTTTCTTAGAGGCTTAAGTAAAATTTGGACACTAGAAATGTAGGGCTAAAATAATACAGTTAATGTAATACAATTACATCATTTTTATTGTAGTCAGTTAAAAATTAATAGTTTGCTATATTTTTCACATGGCAGTTTCAAAGTTAGATATATTATAAATGATAGAACTTAAAATTCTTATGAAACTAGTGATAGAAATATCAATGGTTACTTCATTTAGATAATATAGGAAATAACATCTTACCATTGTCAGTGTATACCAAAAATAAAGTGTTAGCAGCAAATATATTTTTTCTATTCAGCTGAACTCCAACCTTATACTGACCTACAGAATGAAAGAAGAAGACATATTTGCTCATATAATATTTATTAATTTCAGAGTTTAGAGATCTCAAGCTTCTAAGAGAGGTATTAGTCAAAGGTTTTAACATTTGCACAGTTTTGAACTGAAAACATGCACATATATATCTTTATATTGTTAATTTCATTATCACAATCTGTTACTTTTATTTTTTTAAGTCATCTTACATATGTTGCAAACCACTAATTTGTTTGGAATTAATCCCACTATCATTCACATTTTTGAAATGTGACGTAATTTAAAGAATACAAATGTAGATTTACCGTATGTTATTGTTTAGTGGCTCTTAGCATGACTGAAATACTCAACAATTACTTTTCGCAGTGGGTGGTATAAGTAGCTCAGAGCTTTGGCTTCGAGTGAAACCAATAATGCAATACAATTAACTTTTTAAAGACCATGAAATAATTTAAATTGATAGATTAATTTAAACTTTTCCCATCACTAGGGATGGACATTTTTGCTTGTACTGAATAAATCATTACTTAACATGGATAGCTTCAAATTCAAGCAATAGGAGTTTTATTTTACTATTTTTAAAATATGTTAATTCATACACCTACCTGCTGGTAGTTTCACAATGCAAGAAACCACAGTGCCATTTCCTGAGCCTGTTACGTATGTCACTAACTGATTAGATTCATCAGTGTCTCCATTCAAACTAAACACACAATTGATACTTCCTTTAACAACCTTGAAAGCACCAATCAGCATAACCTTAAAAACAGTAAAAGTAATATTGATTCTACTTTGCTATCACCCTTAATTTACTAAAACATTTGATAATTTAATATATTAACTTGTAAGTAATGATACTCTTAAACTTGTATCACATGTAATACTTTATAGCATTTTCATTTATACAAGTTTTAACACGTTCCTCAGGAGCCAAGGGATGTCTTTACACTACAATTTGTTGAATATTAAAAGTAAGTTCAATCCAGAAACTTCAAAGAGGGTGCTTTTGGATGTCTCTTTTTGATACAACTTCGAGACAAGTTTTTGTTTGTTAATTGATAAATATTTAAGTGAAATGCAGCATCCTCATGTCTCCATACTAGCTAGTACTAAGGTCTACCCACTGGGAGTAAATTCAGTATATAAAGTCACATTCTCAGCATCATTAATTAAACAATTGCCAACCTTTTATGCTTCTGCTATCACCTTTTTATGTTTAGCTTTCAACTGATGTACAAATTATTTTACCTGCGATTTGGTAGTGAAGGTCAAGGAATCATGATAGTCAGCAGTAGGATGAGCAGAAAGAAATACTTTGAAAGTAGCTACAAGCATAATATTGTACTTTGCTTGCTGCACAATATCTACCAAGGTGGTTCTAAATGGTTCCTGAATACCTCTGTATGTCATTTGGAGACTTCTATGCTTCTTGTGCTTGGTCGTTAAGCTCGTGATGTGCTGATGGATTTCAGTCACCTTACCAATTCAAATCACTTTTCGCAGTGTGGGAAATGCCTTCTTTTTTGCCAATAAAAATGCCCAAAAAACTTCAGTTCCAATTAAGAAAAATCAGATTGGGTAGTTTTGTTTCTTTCAACATAAATGTCCCCCACTGGCTCGTGAGGTGCCTGTTAAATTAAAAGTATTCTTATCTCTTGTATAACAAAAATATCATCTGATATAGTTGTGTTAAAAGTAGAGGGAAAAAGTGAAAGCAGTTTCACAATTCTAAAGGCTATTTCTTATATTTTATATGCAGCTTATATGTGCATAAAGGTAGAAATGTGAAAATTAGATTCAAGCTTGGAGATTTTTTTTGTTTCATATTTCAAGCATTCTAGCATCAATGTAAAAGCATATGTTAAACTGTTATTCAAGAATCCTTCATAGACACCTTAATGTTTAAAAATGTTATCCTCTAATAGTTTTTTTATAGTAAGTGAATAATGAAATATACTGACAAATTGCACTGTACATAAAACAAGAAATACTTCATGATATTATTTTTAAAGTTAATACTATAATATACAAATATCTGAAAATAAATGTATATCATTAGAGTATTATTATTTAAGGACAATAAAAAACAAAGTTTAGAAATATATGTTATCTACTGAATAAATAACATTAAAAGTAGTATCCTAGTACTCTTCTATTGTTTTTATCTTTTAGACTCTATTTCCAATCAGAAATATGGTAAACTCAGAGCACACTACTACTACCTATACTACAGAAGTTGAAAATAGCTGACTTTAATGCCCTAACCCCCATCATTTAACATGGCTTAAGATTTGATAAATTTAATTACACCTTGATGGAGATATTGGCTACAATAACTGTAACCTATTATAACAATTGAAATAAAAATATCACTTTGTATATCATACTGTTGTCAGCCAAATATGTTTTACCTACTCAGACTGACTGTAACCTCACTCTGAATTGTAGAAAAAACAAAGGTTATTGCACTATCAACTAAAAGGCTTTAAGGCTCTGATACTGCCGGATTAGTTCTGTACATACTGTTTATTTTTCATGCTAACCCAAATAAAAATTCATACTCCCACTGTTTTTTGTGTTTTTATTTTATACCAAATGCACATACCAGTCTTACTTTAAAGCCCAAAGTAATTTGGTTTTATGACCCATAAGAAAACATCAAGCTATTCATGTCTGAAGTGAAAATTAAACTTAAATATAACACATCAAAAAACATCATTATGCCTGTGTTTGTTCCATCAATTATGCTTTTATGACTAAAGAACTAGCAAGTCTTAGTCTTTAAAGGCTTCACTTTAGGGAATAAAATATATTTCCTGTTGCAGAAATAAAAAAACAAACTTGTATGTCACTTCTGAAGTTGAAGAAGTTTAAAATCCTGAATTTTAATATTATCTTATAAAAACAAACCTTTTTTAAATAAATTAAAATTTTTCTATAATTAGAAAATCACATTATATTGAAAATAAAGCAACTCTACTTAGTGAATACATAAAAAATAATATGCTGCTATATTTTGGTCTGGAAAACTCAAATATGTCATAAGTGTAACTTTAGATTTTATGAGTTAAAGTATAGTTTATCAATACACTATTCCTTCAGCAAATAACTGTAAAATAAGTTCAGATCTTTTGCAGTTAATTTTCTGACTGGTTTAATTTTACTGGTCAGGTGCAAAAGGTCTAGTTGCTTCTTGATGTATGAGACAATATACAATATAATAGGCTTGTTTCTTAACAGAAGAGATAATCTAAGTTGAACTCACAGTAGTGTCAGTCATATTGAGTGCTGCAACAGGAGATACACTTTGTAAATTCACACAGGATTTCCCTTGACCATTACATACACCACAAGCATCAAGCTGTCCATGTCTGGAATGAAAAATTAATTATCAATATAACCCATTACAAAACATCAAGTTGTGAAAGCCTGAAGTGAGAAATTACATCTCAATATAACCAATTGGAAAACATCAAAATGTCTATGTCTGAAGTGAAAAATTATATCTCAACCAATCAAGTTTATTACTAGGCTTTCAGCCTGTTGGAAAGAGGTTGTCCTTAATGATATATATACATTATTTTTTCCTTTTTTTGCAATTATATTAACTAAATTGAAAACAATTTGAACAAAACACCTATAAATTATTTACACAATTTAGCTCCTTATTAATTATGCTCTAATTTCTTATAAATGTTTAATATTTACATATTTATGTTATGTATCCAGAAAACCCATTCAAAAGCATCAAACTGTCCATGTTTGAAGTAAAAAATATATAAGTATTAACATAACAATACAAGTTATGTAAGCTACAATTGTTATGATTTGCAAATCATAATCTGTATGATTTGTGTGCAAACATGTTGTTAGTAAATATATCGCAGGGTTACAGGTTGATAAAAACGAGTGCAAGGCTGATTGCTTCTTGCACATTTAACACATGAGAAGCTGCTGTAAAGCTGAGAAAGCACTATCATCCAACCATGGCTCGTCATTGTAGAGGGTTTTTACCTATTGTAAGTGCGTATGTTTTCATATCAAAATATCATAACTGTCCCGCAAAACACGTGCATAAAACTGGAAAAATATTTCAGAGTGAATACAAAAGAATAAATAAATAACAGAAAACATCCTAATACAAATACACTCAAGCAGAATATCTCAAATAAACATTTCCACACAAAATTTCAAACAAGTGAACAGAAAGTACAGTTTAAAGTGTACAAGCGTGAAGATATCTTCTTGAAAAAGCTTCTGAGTTTGAGAGTTAAAATATTAATGTGAAGTTTGTTAAACAAATTTTTTATTTTATTTTGCAATATTCATGTAACTATGAAAATTGATGTAAATGTCAAAACATTCTTAGTTTGATGCCACCTTTTTTGTTTTGAATAACTATATATTATAAGAAGGTTTAATAATGGAGTAGGCAGTTTGAAAATATTTATCAAACTACAAAAATTAACTCTAGTAATGTAGATATTTTCATGAGCTAGTAAGTGACCAATAAATTTTAAGACTTAAGATTGATATAAAAACCAAATTGCCATGTAAAAAAAAAAAAAGACATGAAATACTCAAAGTAGGCTTCTCTCTTGTAGAACATATATACATATTTTTTTCATATATATATAACAAAGAAAATTATTACCCATTACAAAAACACGGTTTGCTATCCCTTTTACACTGTCCACACTCATCTAAAACTTCAGAGGAAGATATATTTGATTTTCCATCTACACATTGCCCACATAATAATTGGGCTTTGGGTATGTGATCACCTTAAAATTATAAAGAAAAAGAATTAACAAATCTCAAAAATCACTAAAACAATCTATGCTTATATAAAACTAATAGTATTGTTTTGGCAAATTTAATACTTTTCTTAATACTAGTAATTATAAAACGTTTGATATTGCAGAAATAACTGTATTTAATCCTTCTGATAAAATAAAACATAAAATCCAAGTATATTAAATAACTGCTAAACTAATCTATATACTATAATCTAATATTTATAATCACAAAAGCAGTTACAATATAATAATGTAATTGAAAAGCTTATATTGCTATTGTAATTATCTATTTAACAAGTTTAACTGAATTAGTTTATTCATGAAATTGTGGGAACAAATGTGTTAAAACTCCACTACACACACAGTGACATAAACATGGCATTAATAATAACAGTAGCATGTTACTATATATTTTGCTTTTTACAATCTCATTCCTGCACATAACTATATACAACATATAGGCTGCTGTTGTAGTCACATAATGATTACCACATACACACTTTAATATATAATGACACATAAAGTAGACACTATAATTATACTGACACACAAAGGACACACTGTCATTGTGGTCAGTTACTGCTAATCGTCAACATATACACAATATACATACAATGACCCACAAAAGTACACACTATACATACTGTTACGTATCTGCTTGTTTGTTAATTTCCTGGTATAAATTCTTCCCGAGGAACATCAGCGATACAAGTCCTTTCTTACATAAAACTAGTTTATTCTTTCTCAATACAACTTTCCAATACTCAGAATTTCCACAGTCACTTTCACTTAAACACATGCTATAATTCACAACGATTCACGTACTTTACTTATGGTCATTACTGCTCGCTTGACTCAATTATCTGTCTCTATTACTCTCTATCTGCAATTATTTGCCAGGCTTATATACTAAAATAGAGGGCACCTGGAATAGACTACAGTTGCCAAGAAATGGCAACATCCTTTTAGAAACTCCAGCGTGCATGCTTCCAGCGTCACGTGACTTCCGCTGTCGCAGCACTGCCCCTTCCTTAGTATTGTTCATCCCGAACAATAGCCACTTACATTAAACCAATAGATAATTAACAATAACTTGATTAAATGTACAGAATTCACAAACACAAAATTACAATTCAACAAAGTATCTTAATTTTATGGGACGTATCTTCTGTACTGGTCTCCGTCTTGTTGATTTCTGCTTCACATGGGGTTCATCTGCTCCATCAGGATATGTCCTATTATCGGTAACAGCCACATCAGTGGTAGTAACTTCATTAATGGCTTCACTGTTTCCCTTCTCAAAATTGGGTAGAGGTTCTTCTTTGACAGTGGCTTTTTCAGGTGACACGTCTTCAGCAGAGTCATTTGTTCCGTTGTTGACTTCATTCCAACTGAAATGTCCTGAACCATGATAATGCCAAAGCCTGTTGGCATGCACCACCTTTGGCTTACCTAGCCGACCACATTTTATTCGGAAAGTCATGTCTGAGAGATGATTCACTATGTCATATGGGCCTTCCCATGGAGAAGACAACTTAGGAGACTTCCCTCTGGTCTTCCTGGGATTATACAACCAAACCTTGTCTCCTGGTACAAAGTTGACTTCAGTAGATCTCTTATCATAACATAGCTCCATGGAATCAGCAGACGTTTTCAAGTTTGAATGCACTTGATGGTGAATATCATCCATCCTTTTAGATAACACTTTCACGAACTCTGACACATTTTCAGGCAACTCTTTGTAAGGTGGGCGTCCTGTTTTCAGGTCCACTGGCAACCGAATTCCCAACCAAACATCAGCTTTGATGGAGTGTATCCAGTGGCTTCATGCTCTGCTGTTCTATAGGCCATCAACAGTGGAGGGAGTAAGACATCCCAGTCATTTTGGTGGCTCTTACAAAACTTTGCCAATTCCTGTCCCAGTGTCTAATTGTACTTTTTTACCATCCCATCAGACTGTGGGTGAAGTGGCATACCAAATCTGAAGAAGAAATCACTAATAGCCGAAATTACAGTTGTAGCTTCCTGATTTGGTATTGCATATGCCTCAGGCCACTTGGTGAAATAATCCATCACCACACAAATGTACTTTGTTTCCTGCACGAGTTTGGGGCAAAAGACCAGCAATGTCAATGGCTACTCTTTCCATTGGTGTGCCAACTTGATATAATTTCATTGTAGCACGTCCCTTATGCTTGGGTCCCCTTTTAGCACAACATATACTGCAGGTCCTGCATCATTCTTCCACATCTTGCCCCATACCT